CCCTCCCCGCAGGCACGCCGCAATCAACCGCGTGTACGGCTTCCACGACGAGTGCAAGCGCCGCTACTCGGTCAAGCTGTGGAAGCAGTTCCAGGCCCCCCTCCCACATCTCCCCATATCTCCCCACATCTCCCCACATCTCCCCAGATCTCGGTCAAGCTGTGGAAGCAGTTCCAGGCTCCCCATATCTCCCCTCCACCTCCCCTATATCTCCCCCATATCTCCCCCATATCTCCCTCCACATCTCCCCCACATCTCCCCCATATCACCCCTACAGGAGCTCTTCAACTGGCTGCCCCTCGCCGCGCTCATCGACCAGCGCATCTTTTGCCTCCACGGCGAGCAAACCAGACCAGCACAGCACAGCACAGCACAGCACAGCACAGCACAGACCAGCACAGCACAGCACAGCACAGCACAGCACAGCACAGCACAGCACAGCAGAGCACAGCCACGACACAGCCCACGACACGCCCACGACACGCCCACGACACGCCCACGACACGCCCACGACACGCCCACGACACGTCCGCGACACGTCCGCGACACGTCCGCCGACACGTCCACGACACGCCCACGACACGTCCGCGACACGTCCGCCGACACGCCCTCGCGTCCGTCGCTAGGCGGTCTCTCGCCGAACCTTGTCACGCCGAGCGACATCTCGGCGCTGAAGCGGCCGCTCGAGGCATCGGGGCTGTAGGGGAGATGCAGGGGAGATGCAGGGGAGATGCAGGGGAGATGCAGGGGAGATATGGGGGAGATGCAGCGGCCGCTCGAGGCATCGGGCACGGGACTGCCCCCCGCGGCTTGCTCCGTCCTGTTCGCCACCCCACCCGCGGAGCTGCGCGCCGCCCGCAGGTGCCAGACACGGGCCTGCATCTCCCCTATATCTCCCCTATATCTCCCCTATATCTCCCCAGGTGCCAGACACGGGCCTGCTCTGCGACTTGCTCTGGTCCGACCCAGACGTCAGCGTGACGGGCTGGGGAGAGAACGACCGCGGTGTCTCGTACACGTTTGGTCCGCCGCAGCCCTCCCGCCCTAGTGTGCCTTGCGCGCGTGCTGCGCGCGTGCTGCGTGCGTGCGTGCACCCTCCCATGGTCTGCCTCTGTGGCGCGGTCTGTGGCGCGAGATGACGCGAGATGGTGCGAGATGGCGCGAGATGACCCGAGATGACCCGAGATGACCCGAGATGGCGCGAGATGGCGCGAGATGACGCGAGGTGGCCCGAGATTAGGACCCGACCGCGTGCACACCTTCCTCGAGCGGAACGACCTCGACCTGATCGTGCGCGCGCACCAGGCGCCGCGCCAGGCGGGCGGCAGCTGCCGCGCGGCGACCGGCGCTTGAGCTCGTGTCCCCGGCTGCGCCTTCCTCAGGTGGTGGAAGATGGGTACGAGTTCTTTGGCGACCGGAGCCTCGTCACCGTCTTCTCCGCGCCAAACTATTGCGGCGCAGACTCCGGCGGCTGCGAGCGCGGCACCGCCGCCCGCCGCCCGGGAGCCGTCGGTCTTTCGCTGCCGTAGGCGACTTTGACAACTCGGGCGCGATGATGCGGGTCGACGAGAACTTGGTCTGCTCCTTCCAGGTGCTCAAGCCGGTGGACTCGAATGGGCAGCGGTGGGGCGGCGGCAGCCGGACGGGCACGCCACCGCGCAGCCGACTAGACCATCGAAAGGCGTAGCCCGCGCGGCCTGGCCTTTCCTTGCTGTACAGTCCGCGACAGTCGAGTGCGTCCCACCGCCCGCCATCTACTGTTCCGCAGCCCGCCCCAGCACAGCTGCTGCACTGCACTGTTCAGCTCTGCAACGGATGGGTTGCGCTTCGTGTTGTCGTTTATCACCGTCGCTTCACGGCTCAATCGTCACGAAACCCAGAAAAATGAAAGGCGCCGCCGCCGCGGCCCGCGCGCGGCCCGCAATCGTCTCTATGTTCTATCTCGTGAGCCTGAGCGACGTGAGAAAGCGGGTCTCTCTTCATGAAAGACCAAGAGTGAAGAGAGAAGACTGTGAAGAGTTCCAGACGCAACTTCTCCCCGCTCTCCCGCCTCCGACCGTCTCGCTCTCGGCTCTCGCTCTATCACGTCTCAGAGCTCTCGCTCTCAGAGCTCTCGCCAACGAGCAGGGGCCAGCGAGCTAGCGCGGCGCCTTCCACCGTGTTTACTTATTTTTTTGTTTCCTGACGAGTGTGCGCCCCGGAGCCTGCGCGGTGGCGCTGGCGGTGTAGGCAAGGTAAGGTAAGGTAAACGTCTCCACACACTCACACACAAGGTGGTGGGGCAAGGGGGGGCGACCCTCGCATCTCCACAGACTCCACGCCCGGACACGGGCAGGAGCCCCACGGCGCATTCAAAGCAAGGACCGGCACGCCCCCCCCTTTGGGAGGTTCCCTGGAGGGAGGTTCGTGTCATGAGAGAAGTTACACTCCTCCGTGTATCTAGACGGACGGAAGATTCAAGATACACCGAGATTTACTTATCGGCGAACGCCCAACAAGGATTGTAAAGAGATAAAAGGCGCCCCGGTGTGAACGTGTTCCACCTCACCCTTGTACTCTCGGAGAGAGGAGCCACCCTCCCTTCCTCCTGTCTCCGTGTCTGTCCCGCGCACATTGTCATGGAAGGTGGAGCGCACATTGTAGCGACGTCATTCTTAGTCTTTACGATTTCCGACAGATTCTCTCTCTCTCAGATTCGCAGCGGCTCACAAAAAATTTAAAAGGAATTCCGTGTGAATCTATCGACTCCGATTCCTCCCTGTCCGTTTTCTTTCTTTCTTTCTTTTCTTTTAGAATCGAAGTGCACATCGAAAAATCTTTAGGGTTCCCGGCAGCATCCGCTACGCGGCAGCATCGAGCACTACCGCAACTCGCCGAGAGTCGAAGAGCTGGCGCAGCGGACGAGCTCCGTTGGTTGAGTTTTTAAATTTCAGCGTTCTGAGGACTCCTTTTTAGACCCCTCTCGCTCCCAACGCGGCCAAAGGATATCCACCTCGAGAACCTCGAGAGACCGCTCAAACATGGCGTTCGAGGCGAACTTCTCGAAGCCGTTCCCCGCCGCGGCGGAGGGCAGGAAAAAGGTGCTCATCATCGTCAGCCACCCCAACGTCGGCAAAAGCTTCAACCACACGCTCGTAGAGGCAGGCAAGAAGGCGCTGGAGGAGGAAGGCCATGCGGTCATCGTCGACGACCTCGTCAAGATCGGCTGGAACCCGGTCGGATCGGAGAAGGACTTCATCCCTGGGAAATTGAAGCACACCGACAACTTCGATTACCAGACCGAGCAAGGCCACGCCGCCGATGTCACAGGAGCCTTCGCACCAGACTTGCAGGAGCAGCTCGACCTGGTGGATTGGTGCGACCTCGTCATCCACCAGTTCCCCATATATTGGTGGTCCGTCCCCGCCATCCACAAGGGGTGGTTCGACCGATGCCTGGTGTGGCACTACTCCTACCCGGCGAACAAGTCCAAGTGGGTGGGAAAGCAGTGGATGATCTCGACGACCGTGGGGCCCCCGACGAGGATGGCCAGCCACCCGGGCCCGGAGACCAACCCCGGCGCGGGAATCCCGTACCAGAACTTGCTCGCGCCACTGGGGCTCGGGACGCCGCTGATGTGCGGCATGCAGCCGGTGCCCATGTTCATGGTCGGCCACCCCACGGCCGCCCCGGAGGAGAAGCAGGAGATGTGTGGTGAGTACGCGAACCACTTGAGGAAGTTCGTCACCGGCGGCAGGGACGAGTGGTACAAGCCGGTGCCGGATCCGAAGTGGTCCGTCTCGATTTGCCTCGAGAAGACCATCCCGCCGTCCGACCGGCCGACGCGTCCGGAAGAGAACTTGGGCATCATGCACGGCGAGGGGAGTGTGGAGTGCTCCTGAGGGAGGGGAGGGCGGAGCACTGAGCGAGGCGCGACCGCGCCGCGCCGCTGTCAAAGCGGGCAGGCGCGAGGGGCCTGGGCAAACTCCGACGGGGACTGCGGAGTGTTTTTCTAGCCGGGCGTCGATCGACGCATGGCGCAACCCGGGGGCGCACCAGGGATGCGGCGGTGGCCTCCGGCGGCACAGTGGTAGTTTCAATGAAGAGCGGCAGGTACCTCACCAGTGCACGCGGCCTAGCGGCCTGCCGCAATAATCAGCGGTGTCGTATCGTAGTACTAAACTGGTTGCGTAGTACCACGATCTAGGACTAGGTGTGAAAGAGAGGCGATTCTCCCGGCATCTCGGGTGCGGCACTCTTCGCACGAAACGCAAACGGGCGCACCTCTCTAGAGTGGCACGCTGGTGCGCGGATGGGGGCGCGAGCCGCCATCTTAGACTGTGAGGCGAGTGTTTGCAACCGGGAGCTCGCCGCCGCCCCTACACCGCCGCTCTGGGGGGAGGCGAGGACCCTAGGGGGTACCCATGCGGGGGGGAGATGGGGTCCCTCAGCCCGCCGCAGGCGCCGATTTTTTGGCAATAAGATTCTTTTTCGCGCAATTTTTTACTTGTTTTCATGGGAATTCGGCGACTTGCGGCCATGCTATCACGCCTTGCGACATCCTTTCGGCGCTGCTGACCGTGCCATGCTGCTCAACTGACCGCCTGCATAGCTCGCGGCCTTAGTCTTCGGCATTCAGTGACGACCTGATCGTACGGCCAGTAGGAAGGTGTCCTTCCAGCGCGTGCACGCTTCTGACGCAATGCGCGTCACAAACTGCCTCGGATTGGCTGCTGGCACTCTCGAGGCTATGCCTACACAGCCTCGCGCGCATGGGCAGTCAAGAGGGACCATGCACCTTCTCAGGAGAGCGCCGGTGCCTCTCTCTTGGACCGGCAAACTTGGTGGTCTCGTGTCACCGATGTGGGACCAGTGCGGCATCGCGCCATCGACAGCTCTGAACTGCGCCTCACCACTGACCGGGAAGGCCGCCAAGTGGGCCAGCACAGGTCGCACATTGTGGCAGCAGTCAGCAGTGCATGTCTGATAGCTAGAGCAGCAGCGTCAGGGTCGCAGGGTCGGATCGTGTCAAGCCTCTCGCCCGGCCGGCCGCGTGCAGACGTCGGCCTGTCTGCCGTCTGGAGTGATCTGTCGGCGGTCAGTACGACCGATCAGGTCGGAGTTTTCTGATGGTTGGAGGGTCTATCTGTAT